TCTTCATTGGACAGGTTATTCAGTCGAGTAGTAAGGGTTTCTTCATTGGACGGGGCATTCAGTCGAGGAAGTGAGTGTTTCTTCACTGGACGGGTCATTCAATAGGGTAGTAAGTGGTTCTTCATTGGACGGGTCATTTAGTCAAGTAGTAAGTGGTTCTTCAATGGACGGGTCATTCAGTCCAGTCGTAAGTGGTTCTTCACTGGACGGGTCATTCAATAGAGTAGTTGGTGTTTCTTCACTGGACGGGTCATACAGTCGAGTAGTAAGAGGTTCTTCATTGGTCGGGTCATTCAGTCGAGTAGTAAGGGGTTCTTCATTGGACGGGTCCTTCAGTCGAGTAGTAAGGGGTTCTTCATTGGACGGGTCATTTAGTCGAGTAGTAAGTGGTTGTTCATTGGGCGGGTCATTAAGTCGAGTAGTAATGGGTTCTTCATGTGACGGGTCATTTAGTCGAGTTGTAAGGGGTTCTTCATTGGACGGGTCATTCAGTCCAGTAGTAAGTGGTTCTTCATTGGACGGGTCATTCATTCGAGTAGTAAGGGGTTCTTCATTGGACGGGTCATTCAGTCGAGTAGTAAGTGGTTCTTCACTGGACGGGTCATTCAGTCGAATAGTAAGGGGTTCTTCATTGGACGGGTCATTCATTCGTGTAGTAAGTGGTTCTTCACTGGACGGGGCATTTAGTCAAGTAGTAAGTGGTTCTTCATTGGACGGGTCATTCAGTCGAGTATTAAATGGTTCTTCACTGGACGGAGCATTCAGTCGAGTAGTAAGTGGTTCTTCACTGGACGGGTCATTCAATAGAGTAGTAGGTGTTTCTTCATTGGACGGGTCATTCAGTCGAGTAGTAGGTGTTTCTTCACTGGACGGGTCATTCAGTCGAGTAGTAAGTGGTTCTTCATTGGACGGGTCATTCATTCGTGTAGTAGGTGTTTCTTCACTGGACGGGTTATTCAGTAGAGTAGTAAGGGGTTCTTCATTGGACGGGTCATTCAGTCGATTAGTAAGTGGTTCCTCACTGGACGGGTCATTCAGTCGAGTAGTAAGGGGTTCTTCATTGGACATTTCATTTAGTCGAGTAGTAAGTGGTTCTTCATTGGACGGGCAATTCAGTCGAGGAAGTGAGTGTTTCTTCATTGGACGGGTTATTCAGTAGAGTAGTAAGTGGTTCTTCACTGTACGTGTCATTCGGTCGAGTAGTAAGTGGTTGTTCACTGGACGGGTCATTCAATAGAGTAGTAGGCGTTTCTTCACTGGACGGGTTATTCAGTCGAGTAGTAAGGCGTTCTTCATTGGACGGGCCATTCAGTCGAGGAAGTGAGTGTTTCTTCATTGGACAGGTTATTCAGTAGAGTAGTAGGGCGTTCTTCACTGGACGGGTCATTCAGTAGAGTAGTAAGTGGTTCTTCATTGGACGAGGCATTCAATCGAGGAAGTGAGTGTTTCTTCATTGGACGGGTCATTCAGTCGAGTAGTAAGGGGTTCTTCATTGGGCGGGTCATTCAGTCGAGTAGTAAATGGTTCTTCATTGGACAGGTTATTCAGTAGAGTAGTAAGGCGTTCTTCACTGGACGGGTCATTCAGTAGAGTAGTAAGTGGTTCTTCATTGGACGAGGCATTCAGTCGAGGAAGTGAGTGTTTCTTCATTGGACGGGCCATTCATTCGAGTAGTAAGGGGTTCTTCATTGGACGGGTCATTCAATCGAGTAGTAAGTGTTTCGCCACTGGACAGGTCATTTAGTCGAGTAGTAAGTGGTTCTTCATTGGACGGGCCATTCAGTAGAGTAGTAAGTGGTTCTTCATGTGACGGCCATTCAGTCGAGGAAGTGGGTATTTCTTCATTGGTCGGGTTATTCAGTCGAGTAGTAAGTGGTTCTTCATGTGACGGGCCATTCAGTCGAGGAAGTGAGTGTTTCTTCATTGGACTGGTCATTCAGTCGAGTAGGAAGTGGTTCTTCATTGGACGGGTCATTTAGTCGAGTAGTAAGTGGTTCTTCATTGGACGGGTCATTCAGTCCAGTCGTAAGTGGTTCTTCACTGGACGGGTCATTCAATAGAGTAGTAGGTGTTTCTTCACTGGACGGGTCATTCAGTCGAGTAGTAAGTGTTTCTTCATTGGACGGGTCATTCAGTCGAGTAGTAAGTGGTTCTTCATTGGACGGGTCATTCAGTCGAGTAGTAAGTGGTTCTTCATTGGACGGGTCATTCAGTCGAGTAGTAAGTGTTTCTTCATTGGACGGGTCATTCAGTAGAGTAGTAGGTGTTTCTTCACTGGACGGGTCATTCAGTCGAGTAGTAAGTGGTTCTTCATTGGACGGGTCATTCAGTAGAGTAGTAGGTTGTTCTTCATTGGACGGGTCATTCAGTCGAGTAGTAAGGGGTTCTTCATTGGACGGGTCATTCAGTCGAGTAGTAAGTGGTTCTTCATTGGACGGGTCATTCAGTCGAGTAGTAAGTGTTTCTTCATTGGACGGGTCATTCAGTCGAGTAGTAAGTGTTTCTTCATTGGACGGGTCATTCAGTAGAGTAGTAGGTGTTTCTTCACTGGACGGGTCATTCAGTCGAGTAGTAAGTGGTTCTTCATTGGACGGGTCATTCAGTAGAGTAGTAGGTTGTTCTTCATTGGACGGGTCATTCAGTCGAGTAGTAAGGGGTTCTTCATTGGGCGGGTCATTCAGTCGAGTAGTAAGGGGTTCTTCATTGGACGGGTCATTCAGTCGAGTAGTAAGTTGTTCTTCATTGGACTGGTCATTCAGTCGAGTAGTAAGGGGTTCTTCATTGGACGGGTCATTCAGTCGAGTAGTAACTGGTTCTTCATTGGACGGGTCATTCAGTGGAGGAAGTGAGTGTTTCTTCATTGGACGGGTCATTCAGTCGAGTAGTAAGTGGTTCTTCATTGGGCGGGCCATTCAGTCGAGGAAGTGAGTGTTTCTTTATGACTATGTGTCGCAACTCGGACTGGTGAAATATAAACATGGGCATGTGTTCAACACCTTTAACTCAGACACACAAGGACTATTGAAATATAAACACGGGCATGTGTTCAACACATTTTACTCAGATACACAAGGACTATTGAAATATAAACACGGGCATGTGTTCAACACATTTAACTCAGACACACAAGGACTATTGAAATATAAACACGGGCATGTGTTCAACACATTTAACTCAGACACACAAGGACTATTGAAAAATAAACACGGGCATGTATTCAACACATTTAACTCAGACACACAAGGACTATTGAAATATAAACACGAGCATGTGTTCAACACATTTAACTCAGATACACAAGGACTATTGAAATATAAACACGGGCATGTGCTCAACACATTTAACTCAGATACACAAGGACTATTGAAATATAAACACGGGCATGTGTTCAACACATTTAACTCAGATACACAAGGACTATTGAAATATAAACATGGGCATGTGTTCAACACATTTAACTCAGACACACAAGGATAAGACTTAACACATCTGTGACAACAATATTAGTCAACTGATTATCTTAACGTTTGTCATTTTCCTCGTGTTTTGGCAGATGAACAATTGACATGCTCGCAAGAGCTTCGGACTCATTGTTGTGATTGTCTTGTGCTACTAGTGAACTATTGTCTTTGTACGTATCCCTTGATGGCTTCCTGTCTTCTGTCACCACTGGCTTCAGTCAGCTACCAACCTTCAGGAAAAAGTAACTATGGTCCTGTTAACAGTATAAATAAGTTCATATACAAAATATCTTTGACTCACATTCGGTTCTTCTAAATGCCCTTCGAAAAGCTTTGAACATTGTTTGTGTTATTGAAATTCCATTGGAGAATTATTTTCCGAGTCATTAAGTGACTGTTATTGAGTTAGCTCTGCTCAAAGACATTAAGAGATATGTGCGACTTTGAACTTACCCCCAGCGTTTTGTTCAACCTTTGATGATTTCATTGTACGCGGTGTACTGTACGTATATGCGTGCCTTGTGGACGTTTATTGCCCCGTGGACGTTTAAGGAGCTTGTGCACTGAGAGGTGATTTTATATTATGGAGTAGAAAAGGTATTGGCTCGTTGCATGTACGAATTTATAGTCATTAATGTCGATGTGCATCACTTAGCTCTTTGGGAATGTTTTGGTTGGCTATGCTCAGTTGTTTCAGCAGAAAGGAAAGCTCACACGCTGAGAACGTTCACAGCAACAATCTTAGCAAAGACGCGCCTTGACTGCGGAAACATAATTATTTCTTGTGCTCTTACTATTTTCTGAGGATGTGTCTCCGTTCGTGACCTCAATATTCCTTTCATATTATAGAAATATACTTATTCCGTTTTGTCTTGTGGTTATGACCTCCAAGGACATCCGGCATCCGGGGTGAACACAGATGCAAAGTTTTGAGGGGAGTCATTTAAATCCATTAGGGTTCTTAGGACTTGTCATAAAGGTAGAATAGGATTAGTTGATGTCTTAAAGAAGGGATACGAAAACAAATCGGTAAATTTGAATTGAATATTTATGTTAAACAACAACACCCCACTACGTCCCCGTGGCGCTTGCCTTCTGTCTTTTTAACTACCAGCAGAGACGTTCAAGAAGGTATAGTAGTAACAAAACACATCAGGTTTTCCGTTTTGTCCCACCGACCACCAGGAGCACCCGCGGTAGTCTAGAATCGTCGCCGTAGCGCCAGGACACGTGTAGTCTTTCCATGTGCTGACCAGTAGAGGTGACTGGTTCGTTTACTTCTCGTTCTGTGTCAGGAAGGTCCGCGTGATCCTATGATCAGTGGCTGGGGAAGAAGCGAGGCGGTATTTCTGATCACAGCTGGTCGAAATGTAAACAAAGAGGGAAGATCTGGTCCCCACTGAGACACAAACCAACACAGAACATTAAATTATGTACAACCAGTGAACAAATTTGAAATTAAGCGCTTCCCCACTGGGGGAGCTGACGTATAGGCTATGCATAACAATAGGCCCTGTTGTGGGTGGCAACACAGCCAATATGGCGGACAAGGTGGTGGGACATGCTGTGGGAATGAAAGCGCCAACAGCTCAGTGGTGACCTCTCACTTTGTGTGTGTGTTAGGGGTAGCATTTATGACATCTTGGTGTTGACAGTCCTAAAGTTGGAAATTCTCTTGAGGATTTCAGTTCTGCTTGGTTGACATTCAAGACTATCCAGCGGGCCAAAGGAGACTGAGTTATCGTTAGGGAGGGAACGTGTTCGTCAAAACAAAACCGGTATAGTTTGATTATATACAGGCGTACGTTCAATTCACCGGGTGTTCCACAGGTCACATCATCAGGTGTTCCACAGGTCACATCATCGGGTGTTCCACAGGTCACATCATCAGGTGTTCCACAGGTCTCACCAACGGGTGTTCCACAGGTCACATAATCCGGTGTTCCACAGGTCACATAATCAGGTGTTCCACAGGTCACACCATCGGGTGTTCCACAGGTCACATCATCGGGTGTTCCACATGTCACATCATCGGGTGTTCCACAGGTCACATCATCGGGTGTTCCACAGGTCACATCATCAGGTGTTCGACAGGTCACATCATTATTTTGTTCACAGGTCACATCATCAGGGGTTCCACAGTGTCATAGGTAGTGATGGTGATCCATCTGTCACGTACCTCTGAAAAGTTGAAAAGTGTAGCCCGAGATGTTCCACATCCATTCCACACTAACTTGAGGTGACCAGTTGACAGATACATTCGCATTAAGCTGGAACACTATTAACCAGGACTTATTGTACGCATAAAACAAAGTAGATTGTATTTACTACTTTGCACTCAAGAGATTTCAGTTCTACATAGAGAAACTGTGCAGCAACGTTTGGATCTGTGTAATACTCATCTGTAGGTATGTGTTCACCGTAGCCCCATTTGAATCAAGGATAGGGACGTCCTCGACATGGTGTTCATGGTAATTCTGGGACAATAGTCACCTGTTTGTAGGTGTTTACTGTTGAGCGTATTTAAACAAAGCAGAGTGTCGTCATCAAGGTGTGTCATGGTTTTTCTGGGACAATACCTGTTTGTAGGTGTTTACTGTAGAACTTATTTAAACACCACATAGTGACGCCATCAAACTGTGCCATAGTAGTTCTAGGGTAATGCTCCCCTGTTTGTAAGTGTTTACTGTAGTACCTATTTAAAAAACGTCATCAACGTGTGTCATGGTAGTTCTGAGGTAATGTTGATTCTGGTTGTAATGCTTTCCCGTTTATTGTAGTACCTATTACACCAACATATAGTGGCGTCCTCCAGATGGTCGGCAAAATCATCCTGGGTGTAATGCTCATTTGTTTGTTTCAGGCTGTCAAGGATAACATGGGCACAGACTGCAAATGTCACGGCGTGTCAGGATCGTGCACCACAAAGACATGCTGGACTACATTGCCCTCTTTTAGAAAAATTGGAGACTCTTTGAAGAAGAGGTACAAAAAGTCAAAACTTGTGGTACCCTATAGAGGCGGAAGGGCAAGCACACCCAAATCTCTCATACTTAAGCGCTCGAAACGGGCCCACCGGAAGCCACGTAGAAGCCATCTTGTTTATTTGGAGAAATCGCCAAATTATTGTGATCACGATCCGAGTACTGGTTCACTGGGTACAGTGGGACGCCGGTGTAATAGGACCTCAGCAAGCACCGATGGATGTGACTTGATGTGTTGTGGGCGGGGCTATAACACGCACCAGTACACCAAGACATGGCAGTGCAACTGTAAGTTCCACTGGTGTTGTTATGTAAACTGTAACCGTTGCAGTGAGCGAACTGAGGAATACACGTGCAAGTAGTGAGGTGGTAAACCGAGTGATGTGAACAGCTTGGGTTGTGTAACCCTCCCTACAAATGGGCTGCCTTTACTAGTGCTGTATGCGGGAGCTGCTTCCTGGTGCCATGTGTGCGTCACACCAAATACTTTGTTCACATTCAAGACTAATATTTAAGGTAGTCTAGCGACCCATTCACTGGTCAACTGGTGATATTCCGGGAGCATGCTGTGCGCTGATAGAAGGTATTGTATCTGATACGGATGAAATTTAACTGAGATTCACTTGGCGAAAGAAACCGACTGCAGGCAATACATGTGGAACGCCGGCAAGGACCATGACTATTGTGATGGGATGATTTGATGACATTCCTTTCTATCTACTGCATTTCACGTGAAGTCTCAGTAGTGTAGAACTATGCACCATCTGTATGGTGAATCGAGTGAATAGTATGGTATTTCGGACATGTGGTTGATGACAGGAATACTTATGTAATGTGCGCCAGGGACGCTGGGGTGACCAAGAGGTTGCTAACATATCCAACGTGGGCCCACATATGACAGGGTGTCGGCTGGAGGGTGGCCGGGTATGGGTGGTACCGCCTCAGCTTACGTCGTACTCCAGTTCACAGCATTTTGCCAAATATGTAGACCACGATCGAGAATAACCAGTGTACTGCCTATGTTCAATGAAGTATGCATATTTCAAATAAGAGATACCTTATTGAAAACTGTCAGTGTCAAATAATGTAAACCCTAAGGATACATGGACAGAGCAGAGGGCACAGACACATCCGTCCACCTTGGTTGACCAACATTAGGGTACCTCGCCGCATCCAACTGTAAGACATAAGGGCACCCCACCACATCCAACTGTAAGACATAAGGGTACCCCACCACATCCAACTGTAAGACATAAGGGCACCCCACCACATCCAACTGTAAGACATAAGGGCACCCCACCACATCCAACTGTAAGACATAAGGGCACCCCACCACATCCAACTGTAAGACATAAGGGTACCCCGCCACATCCAACTGTAAGACATAAGGGTTCCCCGCCACATCCAACTGTAAGACATAAGAGTACCCCACCACATCCAACTGTAAGACATAAGGGTACCCCACCACATCCAACTGTAAGACATAAGGGTACCCCGCCACATCCAACTGTAAGACATAAGAGTACCCCACCACATCCAACTGTAAGACATAAGAGCACCCCACCACATCCAACTGTAAGACATAAGAGTACCCCACCACATCCAACTGTAAGACATAAGGGTACCCATCACATCCAACTGTAAGACATAAGGGTACCCCGCCACATCCAACTGTAAGACATAAGGGCACCCCACCACATCCAACTGTAAGACATAAGGGTACCCCACCACATCAAACTGTAAGACATAAGGGTACCCCACCACATCCAACTGTAAGACATAAGGGTACCCCACCACATCAAACTGTAAGACATAAGGGTACCCCACCACATCCAACTGTAAGACATAAGGGTACCCATCACATCAAACTGTAAGACATAAGGGTACCTCACCACATCCAACTGTAAGACATAAGGGTACCCCGCCACATCCAACTGTAAGACATAAGGGTACCCCATCACATCCAACTGTAAGACATAAGGGGTACCCCGCCGCATCCAACTGTAAGACATAAGGGTACCCCGCCGCATCCAACTGTAAGACATAAGGGTACCTATCACATCAAACTGTAAGACATAAGGGTACCCCACCACATCCAACTGTAAGACATAAGGGTACCCCGCCACATCCAACTGTAAGACATAAGAGTACCCCGCCGCATCCAACTGTAAGACATAAGGGTACCCCACCACATCCAACTGTAAGACATAAGGGTTTCCCACCACATCCAACTGTAAGACATAAGGGTTTCCCACCATCACCTTACGCCAGACTAGAAGAAGGGAACATGTGTATACTACCGCCACAAGCTGACAAGCAGTGCTTTACATCACCACTTCTGTCTGACAGAGAGTTGGGTATAGTGTCAGCTGGCAGACTAATGTAGAGACAGTAGGGTATATTCCCACCAGACAAGATGGGTTATACTCCCATCCGGCCCCCATCCCCACCCCACTATTGAAAAGACGGTGTTGTATACTTCCATTAACCTATTATTCCCCAACTGTTTAAATATTGCCTATTCTCAAATGTAGTTTCGCCATTTGGTTATCATCACCTCAATTAAGTAATGCTTTCAATTTATTTGCATATTTTTTGGGAAACTGCAAAATATGTTTCCGGACCCTGATAGGGTGCATGGAGACGAGGGTCCCCATGTTTCATCTGGTATATGATTTTTTTAAAGAAAAGTGACATCTTCCTCGCAAATTCATATTAATTCCTTCTCGTAAGATATATACAACGTTATAAATTCAGTTTCAGCCAGTTCGTGGCAGATTTTATCAATTCATTCAAGCATTATTGACAGACCTGTGATGCTGTCAATCACTCACTCGCTCATCCCCACCACTGGCCTCGTGCGCCATTATTAGATGAAGTGATAAATATGCAAACATCCGCAAAATCATCTTCCGCAATGATGTTGACAGCATCACTATGAATTCTGCCAAGATTACACATTAGGCGTTTCCTAATAATACTGTGTTCAAATTGTTTAGTTTACAACTTCAGTATCATTCCGTTGTCTGATAATAATCAGTAAGGACGAAATTATAACATTTTTGCAGGTTAGGTCGTGTAATAACTAAAGAAGACTTTTTTCTAACTATCACGTGATATCTGTAAATGAAAGCCCTGGGGAGCTTCATCGCTATGTAATCATCGTGTACAAATAAGGTATTGTCTAAGTAAATAAAGAGAAGAGATTATTTGTATGCAACACTTAGACAGTTAAAGAATATAATTTAAAAACTTTAGCACTGACTCTGCTGAACGTCTCAAACTCGTCGCCATTTTGGTTTCTCACACAAGACCAAACCTCCCGACACGGACTCCAGTGGGATAACTCACAAACAACTAATAAATTCAAAAAGTATTTGTAAGTAATTTTTTACATTATAACTCTTGCGCCCTACTGGCATGCATGGCGGTTAAGGGGTTATTACAGAAAATGGGTTTTACACCAACCGCAGCTGACAAAACGTGGGAAATACTCCCTCACCACCTTACAGAAAGTGGGATATACTCCCTTATCCCCTGACAGAAAGTGGGATATACTCCGTCACCACCTGACAGAAAGTGGGATAAACTCCTTCACCACCGGACAGAAAGTGAGATATACTCCCTTATCACCTGACAGAAAGTGGGATATACACCCTTATCACATGGGAGGAAGTGGGATATACTCCGTCACCACCAGACAGAAAGTGGGATATACTCCCTTATCACCTGACAGAAAGTGGAATATATCCCCTTATTACCTGACAGAAAGTGGGACATACTCCCATATCACCTGGGAGGAAGTGGGATATACTCCGTCACCACCTGACAGAAAGTGGGATATACTCCCTTACCACCTGACAGAAAGTGGGATATAATCCCTTACCACCTGACAGAAAGTGAGATATACTCCCTGACCACCTGACAGAAAGTGGGATATACTCCCTTACTATCTGACAGAAAGTGGGATATACTCCATTACTTTGTGACAGAAAGTGGGATATACTCCCTTATCACCTGGGAGAAAGTGGGATATACTCCCTCATCACCTGACAGAAAGTGGGATATACTCCCTTACCACCTGACAGAAAGTGGGATATAATCCCTCACCATCTGACAAAAAGTGGGATATACTCCCTCACCACCTGACAGAAAGTGGGATTAACTATCTTACCACCTGACAGAAAGTGGGATATAATCCCTTATCACCTGAGAGAAAGTGAGATATACTCCCTGACCACCTGACAGAAAGTGGGATATATTCCATTACCATCAGACAGAAAGATGGATATACTCCCTTACTATCTGACAGAAAGTGGGATATACTCCCTTATCACCTGGGAGAAAGTGGGATATACTCCCTCATCACCTGACAGAAAGTGGTATATACTCCCTTATCACCTGACAGAAAGTGGGATATAATCCCACACCACCTGAGAGAAAGTGGGATATACTCCCTTACCATCTGACAGAAAGTGAGATGACTCCCTTATCACCTGACAAAAAGTGGGATATTTTCCCTTATCACATGGGAGGAAGTGGGATATACTCCCTCACCCCCTGACAGAAAGTGGGATATACTCCCTTACCACCTGACAGAAAGTGGGATTAACTCCCTCACCACCTGACAGAAAGTGGGATATACTCCCTTACCACCTGACAGAAAGTGGGATATACTCCCTCACCACCTGACAGAAAGTGGGATACACTGCCTCATCACCTGGGTGAAAGTACATTTTTCTCCGACAACAGCTGACAGATATTGGGATATACACCTTCATCACCTGACAAAATGTGGGATTAACTCCCTTACCTTGTGACAGAAAGTGGGATATACTCCCTTATCAACTAGGAGAAAGTGGGGTGTTTTCCCTTATCACATGGGAGAAATTGGGATATACTCCCTGACCACCTGACAGAAAGTGGGATATAATCCCTTATCACCTGACAGAAAGTGAGATATACTCCCTGACCACCTGACAGAAAGTGGGAAATACTCCCTTATCACCTGACAGAAAGTGGGATATACTCCCTTATCACATGGGAGAAAGTGGGATATACTCCTTCATCAGTTGACAGAAAGTGGGGTATACTCCCTCACCACCTGGGAGAAAGTACATTTTTCTCCGACAACAGCTGACAGATATTGGGATATACACCTTCATCACCTGACGAAATGTGGGATATACTTCCTTATTACCTGACAGAAAGTGGGATATACTCCCTCACCACCTGACAGAAAGTGGGATACACTGCCTCATCACCTGGGAGAAAGTACATTTTTCTCCGACAACAGCTGACAGATATTGGGATATACACCTTCATCACCTGACGAAATGTGGGATATACTTCCTTATCACCTAACAGAAAGTGGTATATACTCCCTCACAACCTAACAGAAAGTGGGATATACTCCCTGACCACCTGACAGAAAGTGGGATTAACTCCCTTACCTTGTTACAGAAAGTGGGATATACTCCCTTATCAACTGGGAGAAAGTGGGATGTTTTCCCTTATCACATGGGAGAAATTGGGATATACTCCCTTATCACATGGGAGAAAGTGGGATATACTCCCTTATCACCTGACAGAAAGTGGAATATACACCTTTATCACTTTGGAGGAAGTGGGATATACTCCGTCACCACCTTTACAGAAAGTGGGATATACTCCCTTACCATCTAACAGAAAGTGAGATATACTCCTTCATCAGTTGACAGAAAGTGAGATATACTCCCTCACCACCTGACAGAAAGTGGGATTAACCCCATCACCACCCGACAGAAAGTGGGATTAACTCCCTCACCACCTGATGGAAAGTGGGATTAACTCCTTCACCACCTGACAGAAAGTGGGATATACACCCTTATCACATGGGAGGAAGTGGGATATACTCCGTCACCACCTCACAGAAAGTTGGATATACTCCCTTACCATCTGACAGAAAGTGAGATATACTCCCTTATCACCTGACAGAAAGTGGAATATACACCTTTATCACTTTGGAGGAAGTGGGATAAAGTCCGTCACCACCTGACAGAAAGTGGGATATACTCCCTTACCATCTAACAGAAAGTGAGATATGCTCCTTTATCACCTGACAGAAAGTGAGATATACTCCCTCACCACCTGACAGAAAGTGGGATATACTCCCTTAACACCTGGGAGAAAATGGGATATACTCCCTCATCACCTGACAGAAAGTGGGATATACTCCTTTACCACCTGACAGAAAGTGAGATACAATGCTTCACCACTTGACAGAAAGTGGGATATACTCCCTTATCACCTGGGAGAAAGTTGGATATACTCCCTCATCACCTTACAGAAAGTGGTATACTACCTTACCACCTGACAGAAAGTGGGATATACCCCCTCACCACCTGACAGAAAGTGGGATTAACTCCCTCACCACCTAACAGAAAGTGGGATCTATTTCCTTACCATCTGACAGAAAGTGGGATATACTCCCCTACCATCTGACAGAAAATGGGATATACTCCCTCACCACCTGACAGAAAGTGGGATTAACTCCCTCACCACCTAACAGAAAGTGGTATCTACTCCCTTACCATCTGACAGAAAGTGGGATATACTCCGCTACCATCTGACAGAAAATGGGATATACTCCCTTATCACCTGGGAGAATGTTGGACGTACTCGCTCATCACCTGAAAGAGAGTGGGATATACTCCCTTTCCACCTGACAGCAAGTGGGATATACTCCCTGATCACCTGACAGAAAGTGGGATATACTCCCTTACCACCTGACAGAAAGTGGTATCTACTCCCTTACCATCAGACAGAAAGTGGGATATACTCCGCTACCATCTGACAGAAAATGGCATATACTCCCTTATCACCTGGGAGAATGTGGGACGTACTCGCTCATCACCTGAAAGAGAGTGGGATATACTCCCTTTCCACCTGACAGCAAGTGGGATATACTCCCTGATCACCTGACAGAAAGTGGGATACACTCCCTTACCACCTGACAGAAAGTGGGATATACTCCCTTACCACCTGACAGAAAGTGGGATATACTCCCTTATCACCTGACAGAATGTCGGATATACTCCCTTATCACCTGACAGAAAGTGGGATATACTCTCTTACCATCTGACAGAAAGTGAGATGTACACCCTTATCACCTGAAAGAAAGTGGAATATACTCCCTGATCACCTGACAGAAAGTGGGAGATACTCCCTTACCATCTGACAGAAAGTGGGGTATACTCCCTTACCACCTGACAGGAAGTGGGATACACTGCCTCATCACCTGGGAGAAAGTACATTTTTCTCCGACAACAGCTGACATATATTGGGATATACACCTTCATCACCTGACAAAATGTGGGATATACTCCCTTATCACCTAACAGAAAGTGGTATATACTCCCTCACCACCTAACAGAAAGTGGGATATACTCCCTCACAACATGACAGAAAGTTGGACATACCCCCTTACCATCTGACAGGAAGTGGGATATTTTCCCTTATCACATGGGAGGAAGTGGGATATACTCCCTCAACCCCTGACAGAAAGTGGGATATACTCCCTTATCACCTGACAGAAAGTGGGATATACTCCCTTATCACCTGACAGAATGTCGGATATACTCCCTTATCACCTGACAGAAAGTGGGATATACTCTCTTACCATCTGACAGAAAGTGAGATGTACTCCCTTATCACCTGAAAGAAAGTGGAATATACTCCCTGATCACCTGACAGAAAGTGGGAGATACTCCCTTACCATCTGACAGAAAGTGGGGTATACTCCCTTACCACCTGACAGGAAGTGGGATACACTGCCTCATCACCTGGGAGAAAGTACATTTTTCTCCGACAACAGCTGACATATATTGGGATATACACCTTCATCACCTGACAAAATGTGGGATATACTCCCTTATCACCTAACAGAAAGTGGTATATACTCCCTCACCACCTAACAGAAAGTGGGATATACTCCCTCACCACATGACAGAAAGTTGGACATACCCCCTTACCATCTGACAGGAAGTGGGATATTTTCCCTTATCACATGGGAGGAAGTGGGATATACTCCCTCACCCCCTGACAGAAAGTGGGATATACTCCCTTATCACATGGGAGAAAGTGTGATATACTCCCTCACCCCCTGACAGAAATTGAGATATACTCCCTCATCACCTGACAGAAAGTGGGATATACTCCCTCATCACCTGACAGAAAGTGGGATATACTCCCTTATTACCTGACAGAATGTGGGATATACTCCCTCACCACCTGACAGAAAGTGGGATATACTCCCTCACCCCTGACAGAAAGTGAGATATACTCCCTCATCACCTGACAGAAAGTGGGATATACTCCCTCTTCACCTGACAGAAAGTGGGATATACTCCCTTATTACCTGACAGAAAGTGGGATATGCTCCCTCGTCACCTGGGAGAAAGTGGGTTTTTCTCCGACAACAGCTGACAGAAAGTTGGTTATACTCCTCCATCACCTGACAGAAAGTGGGATACACTTCCTGACCACCTGACAGACAGTGATAAAAATACTTCCTGACCACCTGGAAGAAAGTGGGATATACTCACTTATCACCTTGGAGAAAGTGGGTTATTCTCTCTCCCTCTTCTCTCTCTCTTTCTTTCTCCCTCTCTCTCTCTCTCTCTTTTTTCCTCTCTCTCTCTCTATCTCTATCTCTCCTCCCCCCCCCCTATCTCTCTCTCTCTCCGGGTAAACTAAAAGCTGCGTGACATTGTCCTTGGTGGCAGATGGCGAGGTATACTCCCTACCCATCTGATATATAGTGGTGTATCTCCCATCCCATCTAACAGACAACCGGTTACACTCCCTCCCGCAGCTAAGAGATAGTACTATTTACTCCCAACCACAGTTAAAAAGGTTTAGCGTGTCCAGCTGTTTCCAAGTTTCATATTGTCTTTTATCATGTACTATTTATTTCTTGCGGCCACAACAAATTCATTATTGAATCTTTGTAATATTTCCTCTACTATGTGACCTTGAGACTGTATATACATGCATTGTTAAATTATTTTCTTTCATCTGTTTCAACAGAAGAGAACTGATGTAAAACCAACTGACTTGGTATCGTGGATCAATATTATTTCCATACTGACAATTATTCCTATTCTGAAGTATTCCCAGTAGCGAGCGGTCCTGAGGACTACACCTTGTATATTGGTAGGTTTACACGATTCTAAAGAATCAGTAATCAATATGCTGTGGTCAGTAATTTTTTATGAATATTTTTTAATGTCGTATAAATGTAACATACATGTATATCTATTTTATTTTCAGAGGGTATTTTTCAAAATCACATGACCTTTTAAATGTGAAAGTCGAATCTTTGTAAGTGTCCATCTCCGGTAGTGTTGTACCTGTGTTTCTCTACAGTACATAGATAGGAGCTGATATCTTCTCTGTACCTGTGTTTCTCTACAGTACATAGATAGGAGCTGATATCTTCTCTGTACCTGTGTTTCTTTACAGTACATAGATAGGAGCTGATATCTTCTCTGTACCTGTGTTTCTCTACAGTACATAGATAGGAGCTGATATCTTCTCTGTACCTGTGTTTCTTTACAGTACATAGATAGGAGCTGATATCTTCTCTGTACCTGTGTTTCTCTACAGTACATAGATAGGAGCTGATATCTTCTCTGTACCTGTGTTTCTCTACAGTACATAGATAGGAGCTGATATCTTCTCTGTACCTGTGTTTCTCTCTACAGTACATAGATAGGAGCTGATATCTTCTCTGTACCTGTGTTTCTCTACAGTACATAGATAGGAGCTGATATCTTCTTCTGTACCTGTGTTTCTTTTTACAGTACATAGATAGGAGCTGATATCTTCTCTGTACCTGTGTTTCTCTACAGTACATAGATAGGAGCTGATATCTTCTCTGTACCTGTGTTTCTCTACAGTACATAGATAGGAGCTGATATCTTCTCTGTACCTGTGTTTCTTTACAGTACATAGATAGGAGGAAACCAGCTGATATCTTCTCTGTACCTGTGTTTCTTTACAGTACATAGATAGGAGCTGATATCTTCTCTGTACCTGTGTTTCTCTACAGTACATAGATAGGAGCTGATATCTTCTCTGTACCTGTGTTTCTTTACAGTACATAGATAGGAGCTGATATCTTCTCTGTACCTGTGTTTCTCTTACAGTACATAGATAGGAGCTGAGCTGATATCTTCTCTGTACCTGTGTTTCTTTCTCTACAGTACATAGATAGGAGCTGATATCTTCTCTGTACCTGTGTTTCTCTACAGTACATAGATAGGCTGATATCTTCTCTGTACCTGTGCTGATATCTGATATCTCTCTGTACCTGTGTTTCTCTACAGTACATAGATAGGAGCTGATATCTTCTCTGTACCTGTGTTTCTCTACAGTACATAGATAGGAGCTGATATCTTCTCTGTACCTGTGTTTCTCTACAGTACATAGATAGGAGCTGATATCTTCTCTGTACCTGTGTTTCTCTACAGTACATAGATAGGAGCTGATATATCTTCTCTGTACCTGTGTTTCTTTACAGTACATAGATAGGAGCTGATATCTTCTCTGTACCTGTGTTTCTCTACAGTACATAGATAGATAGGACCTGATATCTTCTCTGTACCTGTGTTTCTCTGTACCTGTGTTTCTTTACAGTACATAGATAGGAGGAAACCAGCTGATATCTTCTCTGTCCCTGTGTTTCTTTACAGTACATAGATAGGAGCTGATATCTTCTCTGTACCTGTGTTTCTTTACAGTACATAACCAAGACGAAATCAGCTGATATCTTCTCCGAATGATTACCATTGTCATCTGCAAATGACATACAAAAGTATACAGGAAAACCTCGTTTATCCGGGCACTGTATTATACGACATCGACTAGAAAACGCCTTATATATGGCATTAACGGAACGAGAGGTCAGAACTTGGAGAGTTGAGTTTCATGGGGCCCTGTCCAACATGATTGCACTTTCTACACGAAGTCTGATATGTATTTATTTAAAATCGTGTCATATTATTACATTTGATAGATGTGGCAAATGATTATTGAAACTAGCAGTATCACTAGTCTTTTAATAGTGAAACACAGAAAATTGTACTATTTTTACCGCAAAATTATCAGTATTTTCTGGTCAATATAGTTTTGTTTTTTATTACATATTTCATTATTTGTTTTCATTTATTAAAATGATGAACTACGTACTTCCTGTCCGTGTGACGTCATGGCTTGTTCATCGGACAGAGTTTGATGTGTTCCTGCACCTTAGCCTGGTCGCCATTGTCGTTAATCAAATAAACTGACAAATATTTACAGATGTGCAAAACCTTTTCGTTTTTGTTTGTTGATTTACAAGCTTATTTTGCGTGACAAATACCCCTCCGACTTCACACAATCGATGGTAACTAGCTTTCCGCTATGTAGGGAGGACAATATGTGCCATTGTACAGTATTCCTGCAGTGGTATTATGCTGCGCAGGAATAACTGTTGCATAAAAAAGCTCAACAAGTATTTACCTTTGCATAAAACAAGCAACGTTAGTGTGCATAAAACAAGATTCGCAAATGTGTAGAACTGTGTTACGAAGTGTATGAAGAGTCCTAGTTACGCGAACCCCTGTGTATGTACTGCCATGTAAGTATGCATAGTCCTATTTCATCAAACAAACCCCGCACGTATGTACTATTCCATCAAACAAACCCCGTAAGTATGTACTATTTCATCAAACAAACACCGCAAGCTTGCACTATCCCATCAAACAAACCCCGCAAGTATGTACTATTCCATCAAACAAACCCCGCAAGTATGCACTATTCCATCAAACAAACCCAGCAAGTATGCACTATTCCATCAAACAAACACCCAAATATGCTGTTCCCATCAAACAAACAAGTATGTACTATTCCATCAAACAAACACCGCAAGTATGCACTATTCCATCAAACAAACCCCATCAAGTATGCCACTATTCCATCAAACAAACCCCGCAAGTATGCACTATTCCATCAAAACAAACCCAGCAAGTATGCACTATTCCATCAAACAAACCCGCCAGTATGTATTCCATCAAACAAAACCCTCTATTCCATCAAACAATGTACTATTCCATCAAACAAACCCCGCAAGTATGTACTATTCCATCAAACAAACCCCGCAAGTATGTACTATTCCATCAAACAAAAACAAACCCCGTGGTATGCACTATTCCATCAAACAAACCCCTGCAAATACTATTCCATCAAACAAACCCCGTAAGTATGTACTATTCCATCAAACAAACCCCGTAAGTATGTACTATTCCATCAAACAAGTATGCCCGCATCAAACAAACCCAGCAAGTATGTACTATTCCATCAAAACAAACCCTGTCAAACAAACCCCGTGCACTATTCCATCAAACAAACCCCGCACTATTCCATCAAACAAACCCCGCAAGTGTACACTATTCCATCAAACAAACCCGCAAAGTATGCACTATTCCATCAAACAAACCCCAAGCAAGTATGTACTATTCCATCAAACAAACCCCGCAAGTATGCACTATTCCATCAAACAAACCCCGTAAGTATGCACTATTCCATCAAACAAACACCGCAAGCATGCACTATCCCATCAAACAAACCCAGCAAGTATGTACTATTCCATCAAACAAACCCCGCAAGTATGCACTATCCCATCAAACAAACCCAGCAAGTATGGACTATTCCATCAAACAAACCCAGCAAGTATGCACTATTCCATCAAACAAACCCCGCAAGTATGCACTATTCCATCAAACAAACCCAGCAAGTATGTACTATTCCATCAAACAAACCCCGTAAGTATGCACTATTCCATCAAACAAACCCCGTAAGTATGTACTATTCCATCAAACAAACCCCGTAAGTATGCACTATTCCATCAAACAAACCCCGTAAGTATGCACTATTCCATCAAACAAACCCCGCAAGTATGTACTATTCCATCAAACAAACCCCGTAAGTATGTACTATTCCATCAAACAAACCCCGCAAGTATGTACTATTCCATCAAACAAACCCAGTAAAGTATGTACTATTCCATCAAACAAACCCCGTATGCACTATTCCATCAAACAAACACCCGCAAGCATGCACTCCATCAAACAAACCCAGCAAGTATGTACTATTCCATCAAACAAACCCCGCAGGTATGTACTATTCCATCAAACAAACCCCGCAAGTATGTACTATGTACCATCAAACAAACCCCTATTCCATCAAGTATGTACTATTATTCCATCAAACAAACCCCGTAAGGATGTACTATTCCATCAAACAAACCCCGTAAGTATGTACTATTCCATCAAACAAACCCCGTAAGTATGTACTATTCCATCAAACAAACCCTGCAAGTATGCACTATTCCATCAAACAAACCCCGCAAGTATGTACACTATTCCATCAAACAAACCCCGCAAGTATGTACTATTCCATCAAAACAAACCCAGCAAGTATGCACTATTCCATCAAACAAATCCCGCAAGTATGCACTATCCCATCAAACAAACCCCGTATGTATGTACTATTCCATCAAAACAAACACCGCCAGAATGCACTATTCCATCAAACAAACCCCGCAAGTATGCACTATTCCATCAAACAAATCCCGCAAGTATGCACTATTCCATCAAACAAATCCCGCAAGTATGCACTATTCCGTCAAACAAACCCCGCAAGTATGTACTATTCCATCAAACAAATCCCGCAAGTATGCACTATTCCATCAAACAAACCCCGTATGTATGTACTATTCCATCAAACAAACCCCGCAAGTATGCACTATTCCATCAAACAAACAACGCCAAGTATGTACTATTCCATCAAACAAACCCGTAAGTATGTACTATTCCATCAAACAAACAAACTATTCCATCAAACAAGTATGTACTATTCCATCAAACAAACCCCGCCAGTATGTACTATTCCATCAAACAAACCCCGTAAGTATGTACTATTCCATCAAACAAACCCCGTAAGTATGTACTATTCCATCAAACAAACCCTGTAAGTATGTACTATTCCATCAAGCAAACCCCGCAAGTATGTACTATTCCATCAAACAAACCCCGTAAGTATGCACTATTCCATCAAACAAACCCCGTAAGTATGTACTATTCCATCAAACAAACCCCGCCAGTATGTACTATTTCATCAAACAAACTCCGCAAGGATGTACTATTCCATCAAACAAACCCCGCAAGTATGCACTATTCCATCAAACAAACCCCGCAAGTATGCACTATTCCATCAAACAAACCCCGTAAGTATGCACTATCCCATCAAACAAACCCCGTATGTATGTACTATTCCATCAAACAAACCCCGCAAGTATGCACTATTCCATCAAACAAACCCCGCAAGTATGTACTATTTCATCAAACAAACCCCGTAAGTATGTACTATTCCATCAAACAAACCCTCTAAGTATGCACTATTCCATCAAACAAACCCCGTAAGGATGTACTATTCCATCAAGCAAACCCCGCAGGTATGTACTATTCCATCAAACAAACCCCGCAAGTATGTACTATTCCATCAAACAAACCCTGTAAGTATGTACTATTCCATCAAACAAACCCCGCAAGTATGTACTATTTCCATCAAAACAAACCCAGCAAGTATGTACTATTCCATCAAACAAACCCCGCAAGGATGTACTATTCCATCAAACAAACCCCGTAAGTATGTACTATTCCATCAAACAAACCCCGTTAGTATGTACTATTCCATCAAACAAACCCTGTAAGTATGTACTATTCCATCAAACAAACCCCGTAAGTATGCACTATTCCATCAAACAAACCCCGTAAGTATGTACTATTCCATCAAACAAACCCCGCAAGTATGTACTATTCCATCAAACAAACCCCGCAAGTATGTACTATTCCATCAAACAAACCCTGTAAGTATGTACTATTCCATCAAACAAACCCCGCAAGTATGTACTATTCCATCAAAACAAACCCAGCAAGTATGCACTATTCCATCAAACAAACCCCGTAAGTATGCACTATCCCATCAAACAAACCCCGGTATGTATGTACTATTCCATCAAAACAAACCCTGTAAGTATGTACTATTCCATCAAACAAACCCAGCAAGTATGTACTATTCCATCAAAACAAACCCAGCAAGTATGCACTATTCCATCAAACAAACCCCGTAACTATGCACTATCCCATCAAACAAACAAACCCCGTAAGTATGTACTATTCCATCAAACAAACCCTGTAAGTATGTACTATTCCATCAAACAAACCCCGTAAGTATGTACTATTCCATCAAACAAACCCCGCAAGTATGCACTATTCCATCAAACAAACCCAGCAAGTATGTACTATTCCATCAAACAAACCCGCACTAGTATGTACTATTCCATCAAACAAACCCGGCAAGTATGTAAGTATGTACTATTCCATCAAACAAACCCCGCAAGTATGTACTATTCCATCAAACAAACCCCGTAAGTATGTACTATTCCATCAAACAAACCCAAACAGTATGTACTATTCCATCAAACAAACCCCGTAAGTATGTACTATTCCATCAAACAAACCCCGTAAGGTATGTACTATTCCATCAAACAAACCCTGTAAGTATGTACTATTCCATCAAAACAAACCCCGTAAGTATGTACTATTCCATCAAACAAACCCCGTAAGTATGTACTATTCCATCAAACAAACCCCGCAAGTATGCACTATTCCATCAAACAAACCCGTAAGTATGCACTATTCCATCAAACAAACCCCGTAAGTATGTACTATTCCATCAAACAAACCCCGCAAGTATGTACTATTCCATCAAACAAACCCAGCAAGTATGCACTATTCCATCAAACAAACCCCGTAAGTATGTACTATTCCATCAAACAAACCCCGTAAGTATGTACTATTCCATCAAACAAACCCTGCAAGTATGTACTATTCCATCAAACAAACCCGCAAGTATGTACTATTCCATCAAACAAACCCCGTAAGTATGTACTATTCCATCAAACAAACCCCGTAAGTATGCACTATTCCATCAAACAAACCCCGTAAGTATGTACTATTCCATCAAACAAACCCCATGCATGTACTATTCCATCAAACAAACCCCGTAAGTATGCACTATTCCATCAAACAAACCCCGCAAGCATGTACTATTCCATCAAACAAACCCCGCAAGTATGTACTATTCCATCAAACAAACAACGCAAGCATGTACTATTCAATCAAACAAACCCAGCAAGTATGTACTATTCCATCAAACAAACCCCGCCAGGATGTACTATTTCATCAAACAAACCCCGTAAGTATGTACTATTCCATCAAACAAACCCCGTAAGTATGTACTATTCCATCAAACAAACCCTGTAAGTATGTACTATTCCATCAAACAAACCCCGTAAGTATGTACTATTCCATCAAACAAACCCCGCAAGTATGCACTATTCCATCAAACAAACCCCGCAAGTATGTACTATTCCATCAAACAAACCCCGCAAGTATGTACTATTCCATCAAAACAAACCCAGCAAGTATGCACTATTTCATCAAACAAATCCCGTAACTATGCACT